GTTCAAACATTTTACACAGTCATATCATCTTCTTTCAGTTCCCTGATACCATACCTTCTGTATCAGAGCTCAAAAATACAGATTTTATGTTTACTCCATTTTTAAATGAGATTTGATGATGTTCAAAGGCATATATATACCCTTAATATATACAAATTGGAGTGGAATGTGCTTTTCTGTGGGGTCCCTCAGTGACACAGGATCGTTTTGTATTCTTTAGAGTAGACAATCCCCAAACAACAACAACTAATGACTAATAATAACATCTGAATATGAGCTGCCCTAAAACAGGATAAAGTTACTGATTGTAGATATGATCATAGCTTTTTAAAGATAGTACAGTTGGACAAATTTACTTTTACCTCTAATTATTTATTAGTAAAGTCCCCTGAAATCCATTAGAGATATACAGAAATGAACACTGTATTAGAAGAATTGACTATTTTAAGGTTTTGGATGATTTACTTCATTTACAAGTAGATTACCGTTTCTAGATCTTCATACAAAATGGCTTAAGAGTGTCTAATGCATACCAATTTCATTTTGTGCTGTTTCCTGGTTGGATGAATACTCATCTCACCTGTACGTGGATATCAGGTAATCAAAAATGAGGCAAACATTGTAAGGGATATTTTCTTCACTTATATGTTCAAAAGAACCCAAATTTTTTAATTTTATGGAGTTTTAAAAAATAATATTAATGGGTCATAAGATTATCTAATGCCCACCTTCTTTTGGGACTTCATAACATGTTAAGCTGTGGATTAACTGGGTAACAGCTTTGTCAGTGTTTGCAGCCATATGTCTGAGCCTTGTCCCTACTCTTGCCTGGGAACATACAAGGGCAGTAATCTGATGCTAACTCATTAGATGAATTTGGAGAGGACTTCTTTGAAAGGATCTGTAGGTCTTTCTTTAATTATGGCCTTTGGATATTTCTCTTGGGTCACTGCAGATGACTGGACCAGAATATGTGTGGTAGGAAAAAGTAAAGAGGAAAACTCAGCTACTGTAATGTCTGCTTCTTTCAACTGAAATTCACTCTTTAGAAAAATGGAAATTCCAAAGCACCAAAAAAATATATATAGAAAAAATGTTCCCTCAGAAGTTTTCCTCAAAAAGCGCCCAATAAATCGCTTCACTGAAGTGAGACACCAGGTAAACTAACATTTTACTTGCTCTTTTTTTCTCAAATTCTGTTTCAGCTTTCAAATTCTTCTCTACTTCCAAATATTACAACTTCCTTCATGGAGAAACTATCTTAATCCCCTGGTTAAACTATTAAAATTTTTAAAAAAAAATCCTCACCAAGAACCATTAAGTGGATGACCATTATCACCAATCTCACAAACTGAACCAAAGAGGTGTCAGAAACAGTGATGGCACTGACACTTGGTCACCCCGATAGAGAGGACAAACAACTACATACCAGTCTTCAATAAGAGAGCTTTCTAACTGAACATGGAAACATTTCTTGATATTTGCAGTGTATTATATCTTTTTTTTTTTTTTTCCTGGTACTGGGGATCGAACTCAGGTCCTTGTACTTGTGAAGCAGATGGCGACACCACTGAGTTAAATCCCTGGCCCTTGCAGTGTATTATACCTTAAGAAAAATCATCTCATGTGGGTTGATTAGAGAAAGGTCCAACTTACTAGCTTAAAAGTTAGCTTTCTGTAAGTGAGGCTTCTTGATATGCTGTATATGTAAGAGCCTAACTGAACTAGAGCGACTCCATGTTGACCAGCAAATGACCCAGAGACTGTTGCTCACCCCCATCCCTTAAAGAATAACTAATGATTAATTGTGAATTACCAGGTAACTGCTTGGGAGTAGCTGGGAAACTAGATAGAAACTGTGACAAACATAGAGACCCAAAGTAAATCACTCCCCTCCTTGTTTGCCCGCAACTGAATGTTCTGAACACCACAATCTATAAAACAATGGATAATCGATCTGCTGACCATTAGTAGTAACAGTCAAGTACATGATTGATGACCACTTGCCTTTGTCCCCTTCCTGTAAGTTTTGAGTGTAAACACCCCCCCCCCTTAGCCCTATATAAAATGGCCTCTGATTCTGAGCTAGCTGCCTCTCCAAGTAGCTGTCTGGCCAGACTAATAAAGGTCTATTTACCAACCAGCCTGGTGTGTTCCTTCCTGGGTGACTCTCGCTGTCCGACAAGTTCCTGGAGCCTCGCTGAGCTTTTGGGCCCAGCATCGTGGAGGCCTCTTGGCTGTTCACGCTCCACGAGTGAAAGTGAGACTTTAAGTCTTACAGTACAGATGGGAAGTATTTTCACCCAATCAAGAGATACTTCAAAGCTAACCAAAGTAACATTGATGGGTTCTTGTAAGCTTTTATACTATCCAGATTTTCAAAGATTTATTTTACTATTTTTCTTTTAACCTCTATTCATTTTTGTTCATGTAAATGAAAACCGAGTCGAGTTTTTGAAATGCCCCTTGGCAGATGAACTCAACTCTTCTGTCTTTTTTTGGGATTTTTTTTTTTTTTTTCCTGAGACAGGATCTCACTATGTAGTTGAGACTGACCTGGAACTCACTATGTAGCCCAGGCTGGCCTCGAACTCACAGCAATCCTCCTGCCTCCTGTGCTGGGATTACAGGCATGTGCCACCACACCTGGCTCTCAACTCTTCTGTCTTGTATATAAATATAAGTGATATTAGACCATCGCTCTGCTTATGAATATATAACTTTCAGTGGTTGCTAAATCTGCACTGGAAATGTAGGCCTCCCCAGCTCAGGAATACAGGAATACAGGAATACAGACCTGGGGACAACAGGCTCTTTCAAACCCGAAATGACACTTCTGACCCAGGTTCAGTAAGACTTTGGGTGTGACATTTTCCTTCCAGACATGGTGATAGATTTGCACGGATCCATTTGCACTCCATTGCCTGTTCCTGGCATGATCGACACCAGGCAAAAATAGATGGTTGGCTGGGTTAAAAATGTTATTTGTGACCTTGATTTCCTTCAAACGGAATTGTGGTACACTGCATCTGCTAAGGTCCCAATTCTTTCAAGATCATTTGTTACTGAAGTATTAGGTAGTATGTGAAACTGATGTTTTTGTAGGCCAAAAAAGTTGAATATCAGTTTCTTAAAGGAAATATGATCAATCTAATGCCAAAAGAATTTTTAAAGTGTTGTTTCATTATGTTCTTACAGTAACGTCAACCAAACTTTCTTATCTGTCGTTTCCTCCTGGCTGTTTGTCTTTTTAACTGTAAATACTGCAGAAGTGTTTTTTTTTCTTTGTTTCTCAATTGGATAATTCATCAAAAGAGATCAAATATATTTCCTTTATACCAATGACATACTCAGTATAACACAATTTCTAAGCCTGAATCTTTCTTCAATAAGTTTTTAAGGAAAGAAATGTAATATTGTTGTGCTGAGTGATCTTATGACAACCAGCAAAATTGTGTCAGCCAGATGACTGCTGGTGTTCGCTGAGTCGTTTACACAATCTTTGAAATAATAACTGCATGTCCTTCGCAATCAGCTGGAGTCCTGTTTTGCGGATATATCAACAGTGAGTCATATAAATCTTCCATCCCGCACACATTATCCCTATGCAAAGAATTTCCCAGGAAATTACAGAAGTATGAATGAATTCCAAAATGTCAACTTAAAAAAATATACACTCAGTTCCAGGTCATCCCTGATATCCCTGATAGGATATATCACTATCAAAAGAAAATACTTAAAAAAAAAAAAATAAAGATGATGGATTCGTGCAATATTTTTGGAAAAAAACCCCAAGTCACTTAATTGACTCTCAAACTAATTTTATCTCCTCAAATAATTCAAGGCAATGAGAAATATGTGTTTTGACACAAGGTGCTTAAAGTAGTTCTGCAGGATTTCCTCTGTATTTCCACAAAATGTAAACTGACTGTATAGCAAAACTTTCATACTTTAGGCAAAATTGAAACACACAAACTCGCACATTTTTCTAGTAATGGAAAATGTGCCTATAGATTCTCTGCGATAGATTCCCTCTGTCAAACTGGGAATTGTTTTCGTCTCTCTTACATTAAATTCTCTAACCTGCACATTAGATACATAGCAAAAGGAGCAACTGTAAGAAGTTTACTTTGAGCTTTATTGATTTTAGGTATTCCCGTGCTCTGGGAATTATCTAAATCCTCATTATCTAAGACTTAAATTTGGGTATGGGGCAGTATTGCTTTTGTCGTCACTACTTTAGTGAATTTTTTTCGATACCGGGGATCGAACTCAGGTCTATTGCGCTTGAGAGGCAGGTGCCGGAACCACTGAGCTAAATCCCCGGCCCTATCACTGCTTTAAAAAAGAGTTTTAAAAAGGCTAACCAAGTTATTGCAAACACCTCTGAAAGTGTCAGATTCTGCAAAGACATGCTTTTAACTGAATGCTTGACCCTCTTTCACCTTCATTAGCAGGCCAATTTCCTCTTTCCTCTGATCTGCAGTGTGAAAAGGAATGGAAAGTGGAGTATGGGAAATAAGACCCTTCTAGCACCTAATCTGAGAGTCAGCAGGTGGGTGAATTTAATTTGGATCCCTGTCCTTCAGCTGTGTTTCTTTTTGGAGGTTGGGCTGCTTCGCTTTTTCTGTGAGGGTGTAGCCTCTGAGAAGATGTCAAGTCCTCTCAGAGTGCCAGGTACCTTACCAACAAAACATAAAGTGAACTGGTGAATTTAACAATCAAGGTAAATAATATTTTAAAAATTAAAATAATGTAGTTGTAGTGCACATGCCTGCAATCCCAGCATCTGGGAGGCTGAGGCAGGAGGATCACTGTGAGTTCAAGGCCAGCCTGGACTACTTAGCAAAAGCATGTCTCAAAAAAAAAAAAAAAATCAGGCAAAAAAATGATGGAAATATTTGTGATGAACAGCATATCAAAATTGTGATTAGACTCACAATTAATTATTCCCCTTATTCCTAATTATTAATTATTCCTAAGAGTCTGGTGTAGCTTGAGAGACAGTTATTGATCCTATCATTACTTAAAATTTTATTCTATGTGTTTTGCTGTTGATATTTGTTTGTTTGTTGGTGCTACCCTAAGTTGTGCTCCGAAAGAGGTCTGGCTTCTGGCATTATTTTCACTTTGCCCTTTGTTTTCTGACTGGTTCACACTCTTGCTGGCTCCTGACCTGCTAACTGCTTTTGTCATTTTCTTTCTGTGCTGTAATCTTGAGGTGAGGGACTGTGTCTGCTGTCTAAATCTTCAGTACCTTAGGGCATAGTGCTTGGGATAGTAGCTGAGTGAAAGAAAAATCTCTTGAAGCTGCTGCCTAGGCCTTCACAGGGCTTTTCTGCAGAATTCCGTGAACAGAGATATTGCTGCTGGGCCCTCAGAGCCTGCTACAACACCACAGATTTCTTTTCAGGATTTTTCTGAATACTGGAGACATGAAACCAGAAACAATGCGTCATAAAGGTCTGCAGAAATCAGTCAGAGGATTTAGACAGATCTAAGTAGGCTCAAAGGGAAATAAAGTGATTACTAAATTAAAACTAATTAAAATAATGTAAAATGTTTTCAAGATGATCTCTTTTGCAAGAGATCCATAAAAGGATATGGTAATTTCCGTAATCTGGAGTTTTGTCCTTGTTTTTCAGTGACATCTGCGGTTTCGCAAGTTGGGGAAGTTGGGAGCACTTACCTTCAACGGTGCACTGGTCAGGGATAGGGATCTGCTTCGTGATTTCCACGTCATATGCTTTCACTTTACCGAGGTTTTCCTTTAGATGCAAGTACAGCTTACCTTGGTATTGTCTAGGATATGTGGTTATCTCTGGAGTTTCTCCCTGGAAGTTTCCTGTAGTGGTTTCTTCACAATTCTCTGACTCGATACGTACAACGATTGGGTGTGAAGCTGAAGAGTTTTTCAGCTGTGACCCGTGGGTGTCTGTCTCAAGGGGCAGCCTGTCACTTCTCCGGCTTCGTGGGTCTGTTTCTGAAAGAGAGATGCCGACCGCTGTTCCTGCGCTCGCTTCCTCTTCCCTGTCATCCGAACTCACACCCTTTGTGAGCACAGTGTGCAAAGCCAAACTTTTTGACCTGTAACACAAAAAAGGGTAAGTTAAAATGGTTAAAGAAGTCGAACTGCCACTCACTGGCAAGAAAAGGAATTATAGCTCTAGGACATGAAGAATATGCAGCTTCTCTGGAGTGTGAAATGTTGACAGGTTGATAACACATAGACCACCAAATTAGGTAATACACTGAATTACTTAATAAACAACTATGTAATAAACCAAAACTTTGAAAAATCTATGTCACCTCCAGAATCAAAAGTCTAAAATTCAATTTCATGGCAGAACTGGCTATAAAAAGAGTGGACTTGCATATTTTTATTCTTTTCCTATTTTCGCTTCTAATTTTTTAACATCAGGAGTCAAAAGAAGATATGACAGCCATTCTCAATATTGGCACCCCTGTGTTCCTAAAGTGTTTTTAAAAGACACAAGCTGTAGGTTTGTCTCTGATTTCTATTTCCCCATTTAAAATAGTGAGCTTCTTTGGATAATAAGAGCACTGTGGATATCTTACTCATGAAGAGACAGAACTGTGGGTGGCCCTGGGTAGCAGATACGTATGAGAAGCACCTCTCATAGCAAGATAGTAAAACCAGCAGCAAACGTACTTTAAAAAGCCAACCAAACAAAATTTATACCTGTTAAATATAATGCTTTTTCTTTCTTCCTTGGAAATATGGCTTAAGCTGTGTGTTCTGATAGATCCCGGAGTGTTGCTTTCAGCATTCATTTTGTCTTCAAAAGCCTGGATTTTAACTTGAAGCTTTTCATGGTCTTCACTTTTAGCTACCTCGAGATTGACTTGTCTTATTTTCTCAGGGAGCCCAGTATCAGTGCTGGTTTTTCTCCTAAAAGAACAGAAATTATTGCATTAGACGATAGGCATATATATACACTTAAAACAGTCATACTATTATTTACTCAAATAGGTATCTCTTAGTCAAAACTGAAACTTTGCTGGATAATTTTTGTTTAGTCATTTAATAAATATTTATTAAATATCTGCTACGTACATATATCTTTGAAGTTGCTTTTATACTTACTCTGCCAGCAGTTTAGAAACACCGGAGTTTATGTCAACTTTTTTAAAAATTAGAAGTACTTTATTCTCTTTCAGAGAATAAAAAGCAGTTTTTAATGGGCATCTACCATGTTCTTATTTAGAAATTCTTCAAAAATATGGCTTTCATGTGAAATTCATGCCAGGCATTTTTTAGAAAATTTGATTGTGCTAGTATGCTTCTATTATAATTGATAGAATAAGAGCATTTCATATAGACTCAGTGCATGCATTGTTAATTTGTAGAAATCAGTGCAGCTCTTTCACCTTCAAAGCAAGCAAAATCTTTTTGAATCCCAAAATGTTGGAGAAAGACAATTTTCTGTGAAAGATATTAATAGTTCCCAATATCTTTATAGCAGAGTTTATATACCACTCTGTGGGTCATTAAAATGACCTCCTTGAGGGCAGGGGCCATGTGGGGTGAAATTTTGGAGCCTTTCTTAGGGGTCACATTGCCCCAGATGGAGTAGGAACCTACGGAAAAACTTCAGAAATAGCTCTGTGATGCTCACTGAGTAGTTACAGGAAAACAGTATGCATTTGCTTTTCCTTACCTGTCTTGTAATATAGAGCCAATCTAGAGCTGCTTAAATTTTTATTTAGGGCTGGGGATTTAGCTCAGGGGTTCGGTGGCTTGCCCTGCAAGCTCAAGGAACCGAGTTCAATTCCTGGTAACAAAAAAAATTTTTTTTTATTTAATCACTATCAAGTATAACAGTGCTAATAATTTTTTCCTTATAAAAAGAAAGGTAATATCAACTGTTTTTAAAATTTCTATATCTCTGATATTAAATATGTGTTTGATAATTTTCTCTTCCCACCAGCCGATTCTCCAACCCCAGACACTGAGTCGGCGTTCCTACTATTCAGTGTAGTCCTGACACCAACTACCCGAAGTTAGTGTCAAACTGCAGCCCGGCTTCACTTCTTCGGTGCCAGTTGCTAATGTGGAGTCCCCAGGCTGCTCACATTTCTGTTCCTCCTGGTTACAAAGTCAGGGGTTTTACACACATACCCTCCCCTAGGGTTCAATAATTCACTAGAATGACTCCCAGGACTCAGAAAAATGCTTTATTATTGCTGGTTTGTTATACATGACACACCTCAGTAAGAACTATATGGGGCAAGTATGGAGCAAGACACCCACTCAGCACTTCAACTGGTGCCCAACCACAAGTTCTCCCAGCCTCTCCGATAGGGATTTTAGTAGAGGTTTCATTACACAGGCATGATTGATCAAATCATTGGTCATTGATGTTTAATTCTATCTCTAGCTCCTGTTTCTTCCCCAGAGGTTGGAGGTAAGGTAAGGGGTAAAGTAGGGAATGGAGTAAAAGTTGCAGCCCTATACTAATGCTCTGGTCTTTTAGTGACTAATCTTCATTTTGAAGCTTTCTAGGTGCCCAGGTGACCAACTATCTCTCACAGCCCTCATCAGCCTAAAAATTCCAAGGGTTTAGAATCAGCATGCCAGGTACCAGAGACAGACAAAATATTTATTTACAGTTTCTGAAAGTATGATCACCAAGGTGCCTAATGATCTTATTGGTTCATCTGTGTGGATTTACTTTCTTTTAAAATTTGTTTTTGTTTTTTATTTTTTGAGATATGTAGTTCAGGCTGGTTTTGAACTTGTGACGGTCCTCCTGCCTCACCCTCCCAAGTGCTGGGATTATAGATGTTTGCCACTACACTTGGCTCTTACATGACTTATTTTGGTATTTTTCCTAGATGTTGAAGAAAAGGCCCCAAACTCACAGAAAAATAAATTTTTAAAAATATGGTTATTTTTTTCCTAAGGGCCAAAGTGAATGCGCACAGTACCTGAGTGAGGTTAAAGACCAGCACATGCAGTTTTTTAAAATAAGCCTGTTCTTCTCAGGGAAAACCAATGTAGGAGAGCTGGTAACCACTACTTCTCAGTTACGTCTTACCCATCCTGGACTGTGTCTGTTGGACCCTGGAGCAGGTGAGTGGGCAGAGCTAGATGCTGTAGCTTTTCTGGCTGCCCTAGAGAGTCATCCTGGCCTTGAGGGAGGGTCTATGGTTATGGACCTTCGGCAATCAGATCCACTGGTAAGGTAAGTCCCACTGAAGTCCCACTGAGGGACAGCTGCTGTTGGCACCAGACGGGAAGGCGATTAGGTCATTTATTATTTATTGCCTAATGAAGTATTACTGATAAGATTTAAATCATTTTCTTACATAGTTTTTATGTTTCCTATGGCTTTGTAAATATTCATTTATCCATCTCCTGCTTGAATAAAGTACACATGAGGAGACTGCAAGAACCAAGTATATGGAAGAAAGGCTGATCTTGACAATGTCTCTCTGACCTCTACATGGCACTGACTACACGTAAACATATGGAGAGCTTTGTCATCTGTTGTGGCTTTGATCTAAAATGTCCCCTAATAGGCTCACGTACTCAGAGGTGGGGCTTTGGGAAGGTGATGGATCACAGGGGTGCTTTACTTATCAGAATTCATTCATTGATGAGTTCAAAGCTGATTGTGCTGTTAGGAGGTGATGCCAGCCTGGAAGTGTGCTTCTCCTTCTCCAGCTCTTCCCTTCACTCCACTTTCTGGGCACCAAGGGCTAAACACCTTGTCTTCCTCCATGCCCTCTGCCTTACTCTTGGAGCAAGGAACCAGCCAACCATGAACAGAAACCAAGAGCCCAAACAAACCTCTCCTTCTGTAAGCTGTGGGTGTCGAGTGAGTATTTTGTTCCAGGGATAAGAAAGTGATGAAGACATCTTCTATCTAGACTCTGAACTTTTACTCCCATTGCAAATGAAACCAAAGTAAGGCTATCACTGGATGGTATGTTACAAACCATAATGATTACCAAGATTAATTTTCAAATATCCAGTAAATCCTCTCAACACAAAAAGTTTTAATTTTCTGTCCATGTGTAGTTACTAAATAAGGATTTTTCTGATTCTTAGAAATGTATTCACAGTTCAAAAATAAGATACCTTTATTTTTGAACTTTATTCCAGACATTTCTATGTAGCCCAGGCTGGCCTTGAACTTGCAGTAATCCTCTTGCCTCAGCCTCCTGAGTGCTGCGATTATAGGAATGTACCTGGCTATTTGTTTTATTTATATCAATTTCACGTTCTGTAAAATAGAAATGATTAACTACACTAAACTCACAGGTCGCTGGGAAGATCACATGACAGCGTAGCGTGAAGGCCCACTCTGCTTCAGGCAGTTTTGGGTTATCTCTAGTTGACAGATGTTAGGTTTCATTGCAGCGGAACCTTGACAGTTTTATCTGTATCATCAATGCCATGTGCTGATACCTAGTGAAGACATCTGTCGTCCAGAAGTGATCAGATCAGGCTTCCACATCTGAGAGGAAACTGATGACCCCTGGAGAATGCCGTGTAACTGGGCACTGGGGAGAACTGCAGCTCAGTCCCCTTTCCTGGTTAACGTTGGTTACTAAGCACCAGAGCTTGAATGGGTCAGAGCTCTACCAGCTGGGAGCAGCCTTCCTTCATCCTCTTAGCATTCTCATGAGGAGCCTCTGGGCAGAAGAGAAGTTCTAGGTCATCCCTAGACACCCCCTGACTCCAAGAGGGGCAGGTCTGCTGCCTTCAGGGTTGGGTTGCCAGTAAAATGCAAAGCACCTGGTGAAATCTGAATTTCAAGTAAACAACAAATATTTTAAAAGTTATTTATTTTTATTATATATATTAAATGTATTTTAGAAACTGAAAATATTTTATGGATATGTTTTAAATATTTTGTTATATTTACATGTATTTATATACGTGTGTGTACAATTTCTATGTTTTTTATCTCATAATTGTGTTTATTAATATTTAATATTTTATTACGTCTCTCTAGTGGGACATAACAAAATGTATTGCACTATACTAAGATTATCATACTAAAAACACTAAAAAATTATGTGTTCTTTACCTGAAATTCAATAGGCTGCCCGTACATTTACCGGCTAAATCTGGCCGTGGGATCAGGATGAGCCCTGCTGTTGGCAGGCACGGACCTGTACGGCTGCTTGTCCTTGCTGCCTTCCATCTGTGCAGTGCTGGGCACACCCAGCTCCCTGGAATGTCTGCGAGGCAAGGGAAACCACCTAGGTGTCCGAGGTCAGCCTGCCTTGCAGTTGTCTCCCGAGGTCTACCAGATACCCACGAGGCCCTGCCCATCTGGGGCGAGGGTGGCACTCCGCGACTCAGTAAATATGAGGTGTGGGAGAAGCAGAGAGCAAAGGTGGGCGCAAAAATAAGAAGAGTGAAAAGCCACAAAGAAATAACTGATCTCCAGATATGAGGCTGCTGAGTGCTGCTGATGACTAAAAATGTTCCTACAAAAATTTTCTCCTATTCGCATCCCTTTGTGTTGTGATTCGAATACTCGAAGAGAACAGAAGTGACAAAGGAGAGTCACCAAGAACTTTCACTCGGTGCCCATCCACCAGGGCACGTTCCAGGGTATTTTTGTTGTTGTTGTTTGGTTTCTGTTTGTTTGTTTGTTTTGCTGAGGATTAAACCCCTGGCCTTTGGCGTGCTAGGCGAGCCATCCTCCGCCTTCCCCAGGTTTTGAAAGTAGAGAGGCAGGACAAATTTTTATTCCAGTGGGTTAGAAGGTCAAGAAATGACAGGTTGGAAGCTTTGGTTTACAGTGAACAGTTCCTGATCCTTCACTTCTCTTTTTGCTTTTAAAATATGATGTAAAATGATAGAGGGCTTTTCTCAAAAACAAAGACAAAGACATTTTCCAGTGACAAACTCTTCTGCTTTTCTTCTAG